CCCTGGATCCCCCGCCTCCTTTCTTGCCGCCTCCTGAGCCCGACCTGGCAGCTGCCACGGGGGGGGGGGGGGGGACAGCGCATCCCCGCCCCTCGGCACTCCGCCGCCACCTGATGCCAACCCTCCCGCTCCACCTCGCCCATTGCCGCCGCCTCCTGATGCCGGCCCTCTTTTTTCCCCGCCCCGCCCCGCCGACACCTGATGCCGATCCGCCACCGCCCCGCGCCTTCCCCCCGCCGCCTTTTTCCCCGATCTTTTCGCCGCCGCCCCGCTCATCCTTTTTTGTGGGGGGGATTTGGACCCTTCGCCACCTCCTCGCAACCCTCCGCCTCGACCAAAGCCCCCACCGCCAAAGCCGCCGCCACCCAAGCAACCGCACCCCAGCCGGCCGCCACCACGTCCCAAGCCCAAGCCGCCGCCGCCACGCCCCAAGCTTCCACCACCAAAAAGGCCTCCTCCGCTGCGTCAACAACCGCCTCCGCCAAAGTCCAAGCCTCCACCGCCGCGCCCCAAGCCACCGAAACCGCCGCCGCCGCGTCCCAAGCCGAAACCGCCGCCGCCAAAGCCCAAGCCTCCGCCCCCGCGTCCCAAGCCGAAACCGCCGCCGCCGAAGCCCAAGCCTCCCCCGCCGCGTCCCAAGCCACCGATTCCGCCGCCGCCGCGTCCCAAGCCGAAACCGCCGCCGCCGAAGCCCAAGCCTCCGCCGCCGCGCCCGAAGCCTTCGCCGCCATCACCGCCGGCAGCAGGTGCGTGGTGTTGGGCGCAAGCGAGTTGCATGGCATGGGGACGCGCCTTGTGCACGCCCTCGACCCACTCCGTGCCTGCGCTGCAGCGTTCTGGGGTCCGCCGGAGGGGCAGCCTCCGCTGGTTCCATACTCAGAGGAGGAGGAGGAGCAGAAGGACGACCTCATCTGCCCTTGCGGCAACATCGTCTCGTGGCAGTTCACCATGAACAACGAAAGTGAGCGCGCCAGCGCCGCACGCTGCGACGGTGCATGCTGCGATGCCGGCATGTGGCTGCGCGGCCCCGCTTCGCCAAGCGTGCCGCCTCTTCCGTGGCCCAATGGGTCGTGCAGGCATCCCTGTGGGCTCTGTCTTGATGAAGTACATGACTGGCCTGCAAGCCATCTGCCCACAAGGACGTCCTCTGGTGGTGCGTGCGGGCCAGCGTGGCCGCCCTGTGCGTGCGCGCTGTTGTGTGTTGCTCACCTCCTGTTCTGCTGCAGGCCCGGCCGCTGGTCCCTGGCCCTGGGACTCCTGTCATCACGGCAACACCGACGAGCGACGACGATTTCAGGCGAGCCGGCGGCACCTGCTGCTGGCAGGGATGGCAGGCAGGGAAGCCAGGCAGCCCGTGCCCCAAGCTGAGCTCTTCGCCTTGCTGTCGGCTGCAGGATCATCCGCGGGCAGGGCAGCCGAGGGTTGTCCATCCTTTACGGCGAGGGTGGGCCGCTAATCGTGGTGGAGGGCGAGCTCAAGCCCAACCCAGCCCCCGCCTTCACCTACGAGTGCCCTCCAGGTGGGCCGCTGCAGCGTTTGCCTGCGCGGCGCTCGTCCCCTGGCTGTGCCTGACGCGAGACTGGTTATCCCGTCCGCCTCTGTCCCCCGCCGTCCGAGGGGGCCCCAACACGCACGCGCTCGCATGCGTACATGCAGGCTGGGTGATCAAGGGCTACAGGGTTACGATTAACACTCCGATGTCTTCACAAGTCCTACGCTTCATCTACAACCTCAGGGTGCGATGCGCACCGTTGGACCCGTGCGGCTAGGACGGCAGGCGTTACCTGTCTCTGCTGCTTTTTAGTACGTTTTCTTTTCAACTCAACGACTTGTTTGTGTTTCATGCTTTCCCCTGCCCGCCTGCTCGTGACCCTTCTCGGCTCGCTACTTTGATGCCTTGCCAACATTGTTTCTTCATGCCTGCATTTGTTGCATCAGTACCTGTCCACCAGCCAACCGGCAGAGCCGCTCTCTTGTGCACGGCTGTCCTGTCAGTTGAGACTGACCCTTGTAACAAGCACACCACCACACAAATGTTTAGCGTTCAAATGCACAGCTAAAAAAAAAGGCAACGCAGGCGCGGCTCAGCCTGCACACGCATCCCAAGCTCCCGCCAGAGTGGCCGTCAGGCTGCGCACCACACGGTTGGGGGCTAGTTCGGTGTGCGCCAGTGGGAGGTTGGTCAGTGGTGAGGTCGCCTGCTGTCCGGCAGCCTGCTGGCGTGCAATCCAGGCTGCACCAGGGGCGAAGGCGGTGGGCATATCACACAATGATGTTAAAGGGGGCCAAGGGTCAGGACATGCCCCAGCTGCACAGGCACACAGAGTAAATTCTTGGCCGCAGCATTGCCCCGCCACAGCGGCCCCACCTTCGATGGCATCCCGCTCGTAGGTGTGGGAATCGGCAGCCAGCACAGGGTCCCGCATGGGCTCCCGTGTGATGGGGCAGTACAGTTCCGGCGGCAGCGCCCAGGCGCAGCTGCTGGAAGACGCGGCAAAGCCTATGCCTGCAGCAGCCGCATCAGCTGAAAGGGCCGGCCCGGACGTTGTGGCTGGTGCCGCAGATGGCAGGCACAGCGGCACGGGTAGAGGCAGCGGCACGGGTAGGGGCGGCTGCGCAGGTGGCAGGGCCGCCGAGCCAGCGGTGACTGATGCTGCATTAGATGGCGTGGGCGGCTTCCAGCCTGGCACATCACTGAAGGGCGGCAGCTCATCCTCGCTGTGGATGCCCAGAAGCTGCAGCAGCTCTTCCTCCTCGTGGCCTTGTGCCCCCATTCCCGCCTCGCCACGCACGCCCATCAGCTGCAGCAACTCCTCAATCCCGCTGGCTTCCGCAGGTGCTGCTGTCAATGCTGGCAACTCGGGCGCTGCGGTGCTGGTGGCTGCGGATGCAGGGGATTCCCGCTCCGATGGCAGAGAAGCTGCCAAAGGGAGCTCTGTAGGGATGTCTGAGTCTGTTCCAGGTGCAGCCGCCTGCAGAACACCTCTGCCGCCATCCACTGGCTGCTGGCTGGCGCCACCCTTCCAGCTTTTCTTGCCCCCCCTCCTGCTCCTCTTCTTCTTTGTGCTGCCCTGGTTGCCGTCAGCCGCATGCTGCTGGAGTGGAGGCGAGGGCTCTGCATGCTGCCACAGCCCTGCTGCAGCGCCACTGGAGCTTTGCGCTGGGCTGCCGGGGCGGTAGTGTGGCCCCTGATCGCCGCTGTTCCCTTCATCAGCGGATGACTCTGCAGAGCCCACCAATGAGTGGTGCATTTGTAGCTTGCGGCCAACATTGACAGCGACCTTGGCCTGTTGCCGAGCCAAGCGCTGCCGCTGATGCTGCTTTGACACGAGCTGCTGTTGCTGGAGGCGGCTCTCCTCCTCTGCCAGGAGCGCGGCAGCGGCTCGCTCTGCCGCCGCGGCAGCCGCAGGTGAGGGCGACTGCTGCTGGACTGTCGTCTTGTTCTGGCGGCCTGTGACCTTTAGCTCTGCAGGCTTGGAGCAGTTGGCATCACTGGAGTTGAGTGCAATGGTGCAAGCACATGTAATGACACATAGACAGGCTCACCATTCTTCTTCGCTCGGACATCCCTCTCCAGGCTGAGGAGCAGCTCTGCCGCCTCTGTCCTGTCATTTGCCAGGGCAAGCTGACGTGCCGTGCGCCTGTTCTCATCTTTGGCACTGACGTCTGCCCCCGCCTTCACCAGGTGGCGAATGGTGGCGAGGCTGCCCTCCCCTGCTGCGCTCGTGGCTGCCAGGTGCAGGCAAGGGTGGGTCGCTCTTGCGCCGTGCTCCAGCAGCACAGCCACACAATCTGCGTGGCCCTCGGCTGACGCGAAGGCTAGTGGCGTGTGATCCCACCAGTCGAACGCCTCCAGGCTGGCACCAGCAGCCAGCAGCGCGCGCACGCACGCCTCGTTGCCAGCTTGGGCTGCCCTGTGCAACGCTGTCCTGCCAAGGCTTGTGTCGGCTGCTTGCACACGCGCGCCGGCAGCCAGTAGCAGCTGCACGCACGGAAGGCTACCAGCTGCTGCCGCTTCAGCGAGGGGCGAGACGCCGTCGTCATCGGTCACATTTGGCAGGGACCCAGCCGCCAGCAGCCGGCGCACGCAGCCCTCATGGCCGTGATATGCAGCCCAAGACAGCGCCGTCCTGCCATCACCATCAGGCGCTGAAGCATCCGCTCCAGCTGCCAGCAGCGCATGGACGCAGCCTTCGTCGCGACAGGCTGCCAGGATCAGCGCGGTCTGGCCTAAACAGTTTGTGGCCCTGAGGCTGGCCCCAGCCGCCAGCAGGGCCTGCACACACTCCGCGGACCCAACAGATGCTGCACCCAGCAGCGGTGTCAAGCCTCTCTCTGTCGCAGCATTGACCTGGTCTGGCTGTGCCGAAATGGATGCCAGCAGCTCCAGCAAGTCGCCATTCAACGCTGCCAGGTGCACAGCTGGCAAGCAATCATTCATACCAGCAGCGCTGGTTGGCCTGCGCAGCCACAACGCAGTCCAAGTTACTCGCAGCTCGCTGACGTGGAGCATCATGCCAAGGCACAGAGGATATCGGCAGGCACTGTGTTCGCCCCAGCTCTGGATCATCACCTGGGTACGGGCAACAGCACCCTGCCGTGTTGGTCCATCTGCACCTGTGATGCCTGCAGCGGTGGTGCTCGCTGCACCCGGCTGCCCTCATCTGCTGCCTTCTGCAGTTTTTGAAGCTCAGCCTGCACCTGCCTGTCTTGTGGCAGTGCGGCAGCCACTGCCTGCATCCACGGCGATGCAGGGCAGCTGCCTTTGAGCTTGCTTAACACCCTTGCTGCTCTGATCCCTGTTGCTCAATCAAGCAGTACAGGTATGGAATCATGCAACCTTTTGGGCCTTGCTGGTGTGGTGTTCATATATGCCATCCCGTACCTTCATTTCGTTGTAAGCCAGGTTGGGCTTCCCGGTCCCGGCGTAGGCCTGCGCCCGCCGATAACGTGCCTTGTGGTAACCGGGATCGAGCGCCAGGGCCTGCACCCCATTGCAGCCTCCACTTCTCAGGTAGAAAACAAAACCATGTGTCCTGTCAATGAAACAGGGTGGAGTGCTGGCACTTCCCACCTGGGAGGCTGCCGCGGCCGCTTCATCCCACAGCTGCAGCTGCACGCAGGCGGCTGCTTGGTTGGCGTGCGCCTGCTTGGAGCCGGGCGCCAGCAAGGCGGCCAGCCGGTAGAATTGCACGGCCTGCATGTGAAAGGGGGCAGGGTGGACCTGCCATCATCGCTTGGCAGGACGCCTGCCCGAGCAGCCTTGGCACCACAGACGGCAATCAAAACGTGCTGGATCAGTCGGCTGCTGCTGCCCTACCTGATCCCACATGCCATCCCTGTACATGTCGTTGCCTCGTTGGCGTGCTTTTTCAGCCAGCACGCAGGGGGCGTCGACCGCCGCGGCCGCCGCACGTGCAGGGTTGGCGCCGGGCGTGGCGGTGCTAGTGGCGGCCGCTTGCATAGCGTGCAGGGACCTGTGAAGCAATCAGGAGCATGGATGGCGCCAGTTGTGTAGGGTGGCAGCACACCGACTCCAAACGAAACATTTCCTATACTGAAACCCGCCTTGAAACGAATTTCGGCAGCCAGTGGGATCCCAGAGGCAGCAGGCAGTCGCACCAGAAGCCTGCTCCAAGGCTGCTAGAGTTTGGCGACGAGTGGAGCTCTGGGTACTAAGGTTGCGTTGTGAGAAGCCTTGGCAAGGCGCTCAGGGCAGAAGAGACGGTGTTCTACTGAGAAAATCCACATGGCACTGAGCTGGCAACACGCCCGGGCCTCCTTGACCACAAGCGCTTGCCAATGGTTTACAGACTGAGGCGGCGAAAAGCATACACTCAAGATACATGCATGCGCCTGGCGTGGGCCAGGAAACACATCAGGATTGATTGTGGCAAGGCAGCTGTGGTCATGAGAGGCGAGCATGGACGTACAGCGGCAGCGGGTGACTGAAGCCAAAAGGCGGCGCGCGCAATGGACAGCTGGGGCAGCACATGCACAAGAGATTGGCAAGAGCCCCGGTGGGATACAGGTGTGTCAAAGAAGCCAAGCCCAGCAGGTGGCTCTTGGGGCCCACAGGCCTGCTGCGGCACGCTCTCAGGTCACCACCAAGGGCGGAGACGCGGAGCAGTAGCCCATGCGCGTGCAGACGGAATCGGGCTGGAGGTAGGAGATGAGCATGTTGAAGACGAGGGGGCCGTACAGCGTCACGTACTGCTCGCACTGGTCCTTGAAGTCCTGCGGCGGCAGAACAGACAGGGAGAAGGAAACAACAAGCGCCTGCGGTGAAGAGTGAAGATGCGCGGCCACGCGCGGTTGCTCCTTAAGGGTGGCCTGCGGTTTGGCGCATGCCACGGCACGCACCGCAAAGATGTTGCAGCCCTCCTTGGCATACTCCAGCAGCTCGGCCTGGGTCTTGGGGTCCTGCACGGCAGCAGCGGCAGCGCAGCAGGTGGACTTGCAGGATGACTACCGGCGGGGCGGCAGGAACAGGCAGCCCGACCACCGTCAGCAAGCACTGCTGCCTGACAGCTGGGCCCGAACAGGCACAAACACCCGATGCGGGCGCAGGCAAGCCCAGGCACCTGCAGGATGGCTGCCGCCTCCATTACGATGGTCTTGCAGTTCTGGCACATGTCGTTGGCAGCACCGCTCCGGGCGGGGCCGCCCGTAGCCAGCTCCCTGAAGGTGGCGCCCAGAACACGCAGCGCGGCGGGGCTGCCGCTGGCGGACGCGGCCCCGCTGGGGGTGCAGAACTCGGCCACGCGGCACACGCCCTCGGGGTCCACATCCCTGAGGAGGTGGTCCAGCGCCACAAACAGGTTGGTGACGTCATCCAGGCACCGAGCCTGCACCGGGGAGGGGAGGCGAACCCAGGGGGGGGGGGGGGCAGGGAAGTGCGCGGGTGGGGTGGGGCCCAGGGCGCGACAGTAAAACAGCAAGCAAGGCGAGGAGGTCACAGAATGGACACAGGAGGGAGGCACGCGGCGAGTGATTTGCTGCGGGCAGGCGCCGCATAAATGCCGGTGCGGGGACAACAGGGGGGCGCACGGGGCGCCCGCAGGCTGCCAGCCGGGCCGCGCACCTTGGCCTCGGGCGGCAGGTTGTCGCAGGCGGCCCGCATGTCGGCCTCGATCTGCTGCCGCTCCTCCCGGTCCTGCAGCCGCTCCACGAAAGCAATCACGACCATCTTGCACACGGGGCAATCCCAGGGGGTGGATCCCTGCAAGGGTGCAAGCGGGGGCCAGGCAGGGCAGCAGAGTGGCGGGATGAGGCAGGCGCATGGACAGCGGCTGCTGGGGCTGCCCAGCCCCCCAGCCTTGCTCCTCCCCCACAAAATCCCGTCCATATGCCAGCCCAGGACAGCCCAGCTCAAGAGCCTGCACACAAGGAGAGCACCTTGGCGGCATCAACGCCCAGCAGCTGCGCGGCAGAGGAGCCGGGGCAGATGCCCATCGCTTCGCAGGTGTCCTTGGGATCCAGAGTCTTCTCAATCAGGTCGGCAGCCTGGGCCACCAGCACAGGAACCTCCTGCACGGCAAGCGAGCGGTGCAGGGCAGCGGTGAGCACAGGGAGGCACAAACAGGCAGAGCAATTGCAAGGCAGCACGCGAGCAGTGGCCTGCGCCAGCACCCGACGCTCTCCCATATGGTCGCGGCGCTGCCCTTGCTCGCTGGCACGCGTGCGCTCGCGCCCCGCACCTGCGTGCACATCTGCGCAAACTGGTCTGGCAGGCCGGCGCAGACGGAGGACTCAATGTACTCCTCCACAGTCGCCTGGGTCTCTGGGTCGGTGGCAAAAGACTCCAGCGTGGTCACCAGCTCCTGCGGCCGCCGGAAGGTGCGGTGGTGCGCGACAAGGGTAGGTGATGGGGTGAGGTGAGCAGGGCGGCAGGCGGCAGGGATGGGCACACCCATATCTTTGGAAGATATGGGCTGCAACTGCCTATTTGATGCAGCAGGGCTGCTGGCCACTGGAAGGCAGAACATCTGAACACCGGCAGAACATCTAAACACCGGCCTTTGCTGCAGCTGCCCACCCCTGAGCCCTCTAAAGACGCACCTGGCAGTAGTCGCAGGGCGACAGGCGCAGGTTATCTACTTCAGGGCGCAGCGTGCGGAACCTTTCATTGTTCTGGGACCGGATCACTGGCGCTGCAGCAGAAAACACAAGGGACAGGGGATGGTGGTGGCGGCACAGACGGCGGCGGTAGGGCTCCCGCCCGCTCGCCCATCCGCCGCTCAGGGCCTGCTCGCGCTGCTCTCGCTGCGCTCCCGCACTCGTGTGCCCCGCCGGGCTTGCCTGCGGACGCCAGAGCCACCCAGCCGAGGAGTGCAAGCAGCAGCCTCATCTTGGCGCGTGGGCACCTGCACCTGGATGGCAGGTGCTGTTGGTTAGGAGATGCTGAATGCTCTGAGTGGATTGCACGCTTCTGAGCAAACTCTCGCTCCAGGTTCCAAAAGCAAACAGACCTCCTGCAACTCGCTCCTGAAGGTGGTGTGATTGATCAATCCTGAAGACAAAGCAAACGAGGCTAATGGCTTGCCCCCTCTGCCACCAATCGAGGTCACGGAGTTTTCCACCGCTCCTCATCGCGCAGGTCTCGGAGAGCGTGTTTCCTGGTGTGCTGTTCTCCCAGCAGGTTCACAGGACCACTGGAGGCGCTGCAGCAATGTGGCGCCCGACAGCGGCCATGGCGTGGCTTGCCTGCCTCCTTCACAGCGCACAGGCTCAGAGCAGCCTCCCACTAGGACCTGAAGGGATCTCTGGCGCAAGCGCTAGCCCAGTTCAGCACGGCTGTGTGGTCTTTGCCGCCGTCGGCGACCCCCGCTTTGTCGCCGCGCCGAGCAGCGGGGGCAGCGGCAAGTGCGAGGGTGAGGTCGCGGCTAAGAGGCGCCCCGTGCTTGGCACCAGACTTCCTTGTAGCATCAGCCCACCGTCAGGCTCCGCGCCTACATCTTAATTTCTTTTGTGCCCCTTGCTGCTTTTTACAGGCGCAGCCGCCACCGGCAGCTACCTGGACGGCAAGGTGACCAGAGGCGGCTGGTACCAGCTGAGCATCTCCACCTCCCCCGACTACACCGACCAGGAGCAGGCGCTGGCGCTGGGCTACCTGGAGGGATGGCTGTCAGGTGCGCCTGCCTTGTGCATCCAGCGGCTCTGGGCGAGCAGCTGTGAACCATGCTTTGTTTGTGCCTGCTGTTGCAGCTGAGCAAATCAGTTCTCATTTTCACAACATGAAAGCTCACTTCAACCTGTCCTCCGAGGCGCCCCTCGACTGGTGTGCCGCCCGGCTGCGTCTGCTGGCAGTCTGCCACCTGCCCCGCACCTGCTGCCATTGCTTTGGTCGTTGGACTCATGCCTGTGCATGCCTGATGCAGGCTCGAGCAGCAAGATGATTGGACTCGAGAGCAGGCGGTGCACAATGAGGGCGCATTCTGGACGGCCATGCGCCTGCTGCACTCCCAGGTGCACGACTGCTAGGGTGCCGTTAGCCGCACTGCCGCCTGTATGTGTGGAGAATATCTGTCTTGTCTGTGTTTCTTCTCGGCCCTTCATTCGAAGCACCTTCTGCGGTTGCAGATGGACGGGATGCGGGCGGGGTACAATGCCAGAGTGGCACACGAGAAGGGCCGTCGTGGGGCGAGCCTGCCGCACCTGAGCCGCCGCAACTTTCTGTTCATGTCGGCTGTGGGGGACATGGATCCTCTCATTGAGGCCTTGGGCGGTGGTGGCGCCGCGACAGGTGTGCTGAGCAGCGAGCAACAACGGCATGCTGTGCGCATGCTCCTTTCAATTCATTTTGATTTATAAAAGCTTGCAGCATACATATGTATGCCTGACACCTGAGCACTTGCGTATGAAGCGGTGCCCGTGATGTGCTGTTCGCTGCGTGCAGCCTCACGTAAGTGGGATCACCTCTCACCACATGAACTTGTCAACGAGCTGCACTCGGCTGGCAGGTACGTGGGATTGGGTGGAGGCTGCACAGGAAGGTTGCTTCCCACTGATGGCCGAAGTGGTCAGAGCTTCCCTGACTTCTGTATCACCCTTGTGGCGATCCCCTGCAGGTGCAGTGCAGTGGTCCGCGTCACACCCGACCTCTCAGACCTGCTGCTGGGTCACTCTGCCTGGTGAGCAGCCAGCCATGCTTGGCCTGCCCTGCACTGTGCTGCACCGGTTGACATGTCCAACCCGTGGTGTTGTCCTCGCTGTGGCACCCCTGGTGCAGGTTCACCTTTGGTGCCCTGGTGCGTTCAAGCAGCCACAGCGTGCTGCAGCATCATGTTTCACTTGCCCCGCCTACAGCTGCAACCCGACTGTCTCTGGCGTTTCACTCAGGTCGTGGCAGACTGTGTGGGTTTCGAACCTGTTTTTCTGTGCGTTTCTGTCTGTGCAGGTGCGCATTTACAAGCACTATGACGTGGCTCTGCATAGCCAGGAGCTGCCGCTGCGCCGCATGTCCTTCTCGAGCTACCCCGGCGAGCTATCAAGCGACGACGACTTCTACCTGTTGAGCACCGGACTGGCCGTCCTGCAGACCACCAACTCGGTGTTCAATGCCTCCTCCTACTCCCTGCTCACCCCACAGGTATGAATGGGTGAGGTGCGGGTGGTGCCATGAGTTGGTGATGCATTTTGTTGACTTGTGGTGTATCATGGGGCATGGGCTTGTCGCGTGCTGCGCCGTGCAGAGCGTGTTGAGCTGGCAGCGCGCACGCATCGCCTGCTTCACAGCCCACGACGGCCAGGCGTGGACCGACATCATCGCGCAGCACAACAGCGGCACAGGCAACAACCAGTGGATGGCAAGTTTGCTGGACCGCGTTGCCCCTTCTTTCCAATGCACCTAATCAGAACATGCCTGCTGCACTGCCAGCCAAGCAAATGGTATGCAAAAACCTGCCCTGCCCTGCCATCTGTGCCCGGTCCTTTCACAGGTGGTAGACCTCAAGCTGTTTGAGCCTGGGCGCGAGCTACCCAAGGGCCTGCTGTGGGTGGTTGAGCAGATGCCGGGCCTGGTGGTGGCCTCTGACCACACCGACACGTTGGAGTGGGGCTACTGGTGCGCTGGCTGTACCCAGTGTGGCCGCCTCACCTGTCTTTTAGCAACATGTGCCAAACAAGCTTTGATCACGCTCTGCTGGTGCCCCGTCAGTCAGTCTCTGCTGTGCATGGATTCCGCTGCCTAATGGGTGCAGGCCTTCATACAACATCCCTTACTTTCCAGAGATCTACCACCGCAGCGGTTACCCGGAGTTTGTGTCTGCTCAGGCCGCCCGTGGCGAGGCGTATGGCGCAGCCGCAGGTGCGCGCCAAATCGCCCGCTCTCTTCGCAGACTCCGCTTGCTGACAATGTGTTGAGTCAATCCTGACCCCAACTTGCGATTGTTAGCTGTGCCTCTGATCAATGAAACTGCAGTCGCTGGAGCGTCGTACCAGCTGGCACCACGTGCGCAGATCTTCCGCCGCGACGTGCACGCCGTGGATGACATGGACAGCCTCAAGGCGCTGCTACGCAGCAACAACTGGCCCCAAGAGCCGGTGAGCGTGCCTGGCTGCACATTAGTGTGGTGCATGGGCACCTGGCTGCTCGCCACTCGCCACTTCCAGGTCGTTCTTGCTCAGCACTACGTTCCCTCCACACCTGCCTGAACCACGCAACGTTGACCTGGCCCCACCCACAGTTCTCCGGCGGCACGCCGCTGGGTGCGCTGTGCGGGCGGGGAGATCTGGATCCTAGCAAGCCTCGCGCCTACGGCTGCTATGATTCCAAGGCCACCACCTGGAGCCTGGCCCTGGCGCTGGAGGCTGATGCAGGTGGGTGCAGCACGTGAGAGGCATGCTGACCTGGGTCCTGAATGTTCTCACGTGCGCTGAGCTCCACATTTGGTACGTGAGCCTGAACCTCTTCTCCCACTCCGCTCAATATCCGTTGCAGTGGTGGGCCCAACGCGAGCTGGCGGCACGCCTCCCTTTTCCTGGAGCACCGCGGGCGCGCTCGCCGAGGCGGTGGAGCATGTGGGGCAGCCCGACGTGTTTGACTATCGCTTTGAGCGAATGACAGCTGACCCCTCGCGATGGCGGCCCACCAGGATTGCTGTGGGTGCTGAGCAGTAAGGCGATCGTTGGTGCGACGGCAGAGTGGGTTGTGGTTGGCTGGTGCTACCCAGGACAACAAACAGTTTTGAGTTTCATACAGCAGGTCCATCCAGCTGTCAACTGTTTCAACTTTCATTTCAGGAAATCTGCTTCTTTTACTCTGATTCCTGTCTTGCCTAGACTCCAGTTTTGCACTTCTAGATATTCTGAATCATTTTTCATTCATTCAGTCACGGCAAATTGACAAAATAACAGCAGTGCTCGAGCGAGTTTACCAGGAACGCCGGTGAAAAGGTGTGAACCACGGGAAGGCGGTTCAGACTGGCGGCGCCAGCAGAGAGTACAGGGTTATCGAGATGAGGCCCAACGCCAGCAGCAGCAGGGCGATGCCCGCCCACCACAGCTTGCTGGCCAGGAAGTGATACTGCGCTGCTTGCTGCCTAGAAAGCTGCTGCCGCTGCGGCTGCTGCTGGCCCGTCTCTGCCTCCGCCACGGGCTCTGGGCCCAGCAGGGGCTCCTCTGGTCCGCCCCTTACGTTGAGATGCTTGTTGTAGGCATACTGCATTGCAGTTGAAATACAACAATAACTCATTGAAATTCATTGATCTAGTTTTGATATAATGTTTTTATCGGTTACTACCTGCAGGCAGAAGGCTCCCGGCATGCCAAAGATGAAAAACGCGCCGCACGACCCGCCTATAACCTTGAACACCGAGCCGAGGTCGGTGACCAGCTGCGGGCGGGATGCACAGAACACACATATCACAGAGGCACAGGTGTTGCAGGCAGGTGGCGCGTGTGGTGCATTCATTTGAAGAAGTCGAGAGCAGAAGCGCAGGGATGCAGTTGGAATGACGCAGGTGCAGTTGGAACAGTTGCAGATAGCAAACCAGCTGACAAAGGGGGCGGCGGCAGCGTGCATTCACCAGCGGGCACCCCCAGCAGTGCAGGGGGGCCGCACCAGGGACAGGGCGAGGGTGGCGGCGAAGAAGGCCAGCACCTCGGTGACGTTGTAGGTGGTGCTGGTGAACTGGCGCCCCGTCAGCTGCGCCAGAAGGTCCCTGGTCGCGTTCCTGGCTGGGAAATGGTTGACTGGGTAATGGATAATCTGCGGGCGGTGGCAATAGGGAACAGAGTTAAGGAGGCGCGCGAGAGGCAGTAGGTGAAGTAAGCAGCCGCGACATCCATCATCATTGAGCAGATGCTTCGAAGAGCAAGGGCCGCATCCAACCTGGATCACAGCCACCAGCGCACGCGCGACCCGCATCAGCTTGTCGTTGCCTGCAGCAGCACACAGCAAGCGGCGGGCAGGCAGCGGGGCATCAAACGTGCAACCGCACGGGTCCTGCGCCAGTTCAATATGCCTGTCTGGGGACAGCGGCCTACGGCCTGCCTGCCGACCCATACGCCAGCACCCACCAGAGTAGTTGAGCAGGATGTTGCTGTGGGCGTCAAGGGGGAAGTTGAGGTAGCCGAAGATGCCCACCAGCGAGTAGAAGCCGGCAGTGAGGCAGACTGCAGGCAGGCAGAGGAGCAACGGCGAGTGAGAGGAGGAATTCAGCACGAGGGCGTTGAGGGCACGCAGTTAGAGGCAAGGTGGGGCATGCTACTTGCACAATGCATAAGGTGTATGGCTGCTTGTATTGAAGCTGGAGCAGCAGGAGCGGCAGCAGCACGGTTGGCCTCACTTGCGACGCACACGACCTGCGTGATGCCCGCCAGCTTGAGGGTGCGCCCCCTGGGCCGCACAAAGCGGCGCGGCGGGTTGCGCAGCAGCAGCACGCGCCCCTCCTCCTCCTGCGCAGGCGCCGGCGCTGTGCCCGCCTCGCTGGTTTCAGCCTCCCGGTCGGCGCCGCCAGCAGCCTTGTCTGGGCTGGCGGCGGTGCTGGCGCCGCCTGTTACCATGGCCACAAGGTTGGCTGTGGATGAGAACAGCAGGTCTGGTTGCTCCTCCAGCTCAGCAAACACCGCCACCAGGTTGGTGTGGCACTGCAGACGGAGCAGGACAGGGCGCAAGGCGGGACAGGAATGGGCACAGGGATCAGCATGCCATTGAGCAGGACCAGGCCAGCAGGAGAGCATTCGGATGTGCTTGCCCTAGCCTCCCTGGGTCCCGGCTTGCCTGGAAGCCAAAGGCCAGGATGGGCAGGGCATCCAGGGCGTCTATGGGCGGGCGGAAGGCGTGGACGTGCGACCAGTCGTAGTCGGGGGCCTGTACCGCCTCCACCGAGCGGTACACCACGCTCCCCACCACGGCGCACAGCGCGTAAAACGTCACGCTGCTGAAGCCTGCACCAATGGGGGGCCATCGCCATCACTGGTCGGCTGCCAAGAGCAGAGTGCCAGCATGCAAATCTAAACTCCAAGACTGCCCTCATCAGCATCCAACCTCAGACCCGAGCCCGCCGCAACCTGAGATGGCGTCCAGGGTGCGTGGGAAGCAGAGGGGCAGCATGAAGGCGGATGCCAGCACAAAGATGACGAGATCGCGCTGCGTCCACCACACCAGCCCAAACGCCTGCTCCAGCATCGGCTGGGCGCAGTCCCCCAGGATGATCAGGTACGCCGTGGCTGCACGCAGCAGCGGCGGGTGGCACCCCGTTGGAGGCGCTGCTGCGCTGCACAGGCCCGCAGCACACGAGCCCCATGCGCACTCGAGCAACCTACACGCACCAGGGCTGGTCCACTCCCTGCTGTTCCTGCCTTTTCCTTGATTTGCCCACCTGAGCCGTAGGAGTAGATGATGAGTACGATGGACATGGCGGCTGAGGCCTTGCGCCCCAGCATCTTGCGCACCAGGTCCGAGTAAGTGGCTGAGCCGGTTACTTCGGCGTAGCGTGCCAGAACGTAGAGAGTGAAGGCCTCGGTCGCGGCCACTGCCAGCGTCGCCAGCAGGCAGCCAGCCCACCCCGCCGCCCTGAATGCAAAGGGTAGCGACAGCACGCCGGCACCCACGGCTGCGGGGGAAGGCAAGGGGCAGGAGCCTTGCTTGTTTCCAGCTCCCCACAGCGGCTCTTGCCGGCAGGCGGCAAGGTCGTCGGCGCGGCACATGCCACCAAGTCCACGGTCACGGCGATCGGTGGCATGCCCCTCATACCTGAGTTCAGCAGCGTGAACACAGAGCTCAGGGCACTGGCCCCGCCAGGGATCGCTCCGCCCGGCACCACCATGCTTGTGGATATCGCAAGACTAGAAGCCACCAGTGACTCGCACTAAGGAGAACGCGCGGCTGGGCTCTTTGACGCAAGACCTCAAGGTCCGCCCCAGGGCAGCCAGGTGGCGCCCATGCGGCGACGGCACGACTGCCCGGCTGCCCGTACCCGGGCCATGTACCATTGAGCAAATTCAGGTTCCAGGAGTAGAATAGTGGCAGGGCTTGCTTGCTGCCGACAATGCAACATTCAACCGATGGTGGCTGCACCCCAAAGCGTTTCTGTAACCTGCTGTGGCTGGCTGTGCACGGCCGAAACCTCCCTCAGCCGCCGGGAGTGCACAGCCGGCCTCCCCACTGGAGCCTTGTACGGCCCTGCCAAAGTTCGGTCAGAACCTGTGCACAGCTTTTGCACGGGAAAGGCTGGTTTTCAGAAACACTGATGCACGCTGGCGGCGCCGTCACGTGTGGTGGTCGGGGAGGGCGGTGTCCAGACTCAAAAGTGCAGCTGGCCTGCGGCAGTGCACAGCAGGCCCAGCCTTTATGCTTCTAGAATCGTACATTCTGTCTTGCTACCACGCTGATGCAATGCAGACTTTGACTGCCGTGTTGGATTTGTCTCCCACCAGCTCCCGCCAGGTGGCCCGGCCTGCGTTGGTTGCATGCAATGCTCCATCGCGCGCAGTCAGAGCCAACTTCATACACCGCAGGCTCTATCATCAAATTTCATCGCCAAAGAAACTGCAGTCCTCCACAGGCAGGGGGCCGCGGCCGGCCGCATCCCAGCTTATCAGCGCATCGCCTTCGAAATCCTTTGCAATTTATTGAGCACAGCGACGGATACATCCCGCGCTGCCTTGCCTCCCCCTTGCAGCCCCGCGTCCCTCAGCAGCACCTTCACCCTGCAGCACAGGTGGTCTTCGCCATGGCCGCTGAGGACAAGACCTCTCTCTGGACTCACCCTCTGGAATCTGACGGTAGGCTGCGCGCCTACATCGGAGCCTGTAGTTGGGCACCGCCGCCGCCGCCGCCGGCGTGCATGGTACCGCGGCGGCCGCAGGGAGATAGTTCGGCTTTCAGAGCATTCTCAGCCTCCACCCTGCCCGGCCCCATCACGCAGGGTGGTACCGAGCGCACAATGCGCTGCGGGCCGACATGCAGGCGGTCAAGGGCATGTTGACTGCCTTCCAGGAGCAGGTGGCGGCGGGCAAGGCCATCCGCAGCGAGCAGGCGGCCGCCGCCAGCCGCTTCCTCGACGCTTTCTTCAAGTTCCTGCACCACCACCACCAGAACGAGGATGGTGAGTGCGAGGTGGAGGCAGCTCCACCGACTGAGGTGGGGCAGGCAGCATGGGGGACAGCGAACAAGCGGTCGGTCACAGCAGGCGGCGGCAGGTGAGGTAGGTGCGTCATGGAACAGATTGACAGGCATTGACAGGCCCCATGCTTACATCTTTCAGACATCGCCACGCCCTACCTTTCGTCCCGCTTCGAAATGCCCAGCAAGATTTGCGTGGACCACCAGCGCCTGATGGTGTGCGGGCCCGCAGCAGCACAGCCCTTGCGGGAGGGCAAGAGCTGATACACGCATTTGCCTGGCATGGAGGAGAATGCAGTGGGGCTGGTTGCTAAGCATTGCACCGCCCACGTGCCGTGGTATTCATTGTGCTGCAGGAGCTGATGGATGCATTTGATTCGGGCTCCAAGAAGCTGCTGGCAAGCACAAGCCTGGAAGAGCAGGCCAACCTGCTGCCGGGAGTGGCGGTGAGGCGCCGCTGCTGCCGCCGCTGCTGCTGCCGCTGCTCATCTGCAGCGCACAAGAACGGGGAGCAAGCAGCTGCCAGTTGCACGTGCCCCTATGCAGACAGTGGTGCCCCCCCCCAATGCGTTCCCTGTTTGTTCCACCTGCAGGATGTGTTCGCCCAGTTGCAAACGTTGTGCCTGGAGCACTTCAAGGAGGAGGAGGAGGAGGCGATGCCGCTGATGCGTAAGCACTTCACGCCGCAAGAGATTGAGCAGAACGTGGTGTCCAAGATCCTGAGTGAGTCGGGTGGCGGACATGTATTGCACGTGTGTGTGGGCAGGCACACAGGGTGCGGCCAAGCGCATGTGTGTGGGGTGGCGGGTGGGTGGGTGGGGGCCAGTCGCGCCAACTGGCCAATTCTACACTGCTACTTTCTCCAATGCTTCTGACTGGCCGCTACATCATGCTGCCACCGGCCCTTCCATCCTTCTGGGCGCAGGGGGCATGAGCCCCAACGATGTGGGCGCCTTCTTTCGCACCATGGGCCGCGACGAGTTCCGGGTGTTTGCCAAGCGGGAGGGTATCCCGTTCTTTGTGCGCTGGATCCTGGCCTGGCACTGCCGCGGCTACAACAAGAAGATCTGGCTGCCCTTTGAGCAGCAGTGCCTGGCTGCCGCGTGAGCGGAGCTGGGCCTGCCCCCGCTTGGCGCATCGTACCGACCGGCAACCAACACTTTGCTCTTGCGCCTGCCTGCCCGATACCTTGGTGGGTGATGTTTGAAAAAGAGAGACTCCTTGATACGCGCCTCCTTTGATATGAGCGGCACTCGATTAAATGTCTTTCATGCTTAGCACAGATCAGTCGATGTCGTAAACTTTCCCTCTGTGTAAATGATACCATTGTGGGCTTTAGGTGAGCGCCAGCGCCAGTATCCTCCACGTGATGGGAGTGGGCAGCAGTGTGCGCCCCTGCAGCACCAGCTCCTGTGCCCGTGCCAGGCAGAGGGCAGCTGCCTTCAGTCGCTCGCGCTCCTCTGCTGGCAGGCGCATCACCAGGCCGCTTGCCTCCGCCGCAAAGCGCTCCAAGACGGCTGGCAGCGCGGAGCCAAGGCCAGGGCAAGCCTCTGGAATGAGCGCCCACTCCTCAGCCGACATGGGCAGGCGCGCCGCTACGATAGCATACAGCAGCAGCACGGCCTGCTGGTTGGCCCTCCTGTTGAGCGTAGCCAGCAGCTTCGGCGCCGGTGGCAGTGGCCCCTCCGCCAGCAGGCAGGCCGCCGTTTGGAAGCGCGACGCTGACAGCGCATTCTGCAGGGGTGTCTCGCCGTCGCCATCGCCAACCAGCGCCGTGCCCGGCGCCGCCGCCAGGATCTGCCTCACAATGGCCGTGTCTGCATCGCCGGCAGCGGCAGACGCCGCACAGTGCAACACCGTGCGCCCGTGCTTGTTGGTGGCTGCCGGGTTGGCTCCTGCCGCCAGAAGTGCTGCCACCGAGTCTGCGGGGCCGAGTAATGCGGCTGCCATCAGCGGCGTCACCAGGTTTTCCGTTTCCAAGTTTGGGTCGGCGCCCCCCTGGAGCAGCGCCTCCACGCAGGGCGTGCTCCCGGATGCCGCTGCCTCGCACAATGGGAGCGCGCCCCAGAATTATGCAAGGTTTGGATCGGCGCCTGCCGCCAGGCATGCATGCACGCCGTCCACAGTGCCGCCGCTTGCAGCCTGGCACAGCAGGTCGGTCAGTTGTTCCATCCTGCTCATCCTGGTGCGCGCCTGGGTGCAGTGGAGCTTGGGGTGCAGTCCTCTAGGGGCGCAGCAGTGGGTTGCTCTCCGGGTGCAGCTGTGGGTTGCTGCTTGCTTGCTTTACCAGTGGTTTGATGCTCCGTGGCAGCTAGCCAACGCAAAGCAGTCGACTGCCCCTCCTTTCTTCCTGTCCAATGATTTTTCTTCCTGCCCAATGAAAGCTCAGGGCCTTGCTTTGTGCGCTGCTCGTCTCTTGTCAAGCTGTTCGAGCACTGTGAAAGAGACGGGAGCAGGTCAGGCCTCTACAAGCCACCACCTCCCCGGCCAACTCGTGACCCATTTGAGCCCTTGCTTGGGCACCGCTGGAGCAGCTGGCGGGCAGGGAGCTGGGCAGGCACTTATGCCCACCCACACAGCACTTGCCTCATCGCTGCTCAATCCGCCGCCCCGTCTACGTTGCCGCCATGCAGGCCGAGATGAAGCCTCTGGAATCCCTATCTGCGCTTGTGACGGATAGCCTGCGCTTGGGAGAGGTTGAGGCGCTTGGGACAGCTCGCGACAGCGTGTCCAGCGGCGTTGCCATGCCCAGCTGGATGGTGGACCCGCTTCGGCCCGCTTCACCCGCCAGCCTGCAGGCCGCTGCTGCCTGCTTCAACAGCCTGGACGATGCGCTGCGCAGCTGGCTGCACGATGAGAAGAAGCTGGAGCAGATGTCGCTTGCTGTGGAGCTGGCTGGCAGTCTAGACCAGGCCTGGCTCGCGGCGGCCCGGGACTGGCCAACCATCCAGCCAGGCAGCCAGGCAGCACGGCTGGTCACCTCCGCCTCGCCTCTATTGCTCCAGTCGCTGCCCGCTGCACTGCGCAGCGTGGCAGGCGTGATCCGCGCCCAGCCAGATGCGCAGGGCGCGGCAGCAGCGGCCGATCGCTTGCCTGCCAGCCTGGCGTCTTCGTCCCAGGCTGCTGCCACCCTGCTGTCCCTGGGGGACCCTGGGCAGGCGGCGCTACAAGCGTGCGTGCGGGACCTGCGCGCTGCCAGCAGTGTGGTGCCGGCAGGCTCTCCAGGTGGCTGACTGGCGACTGGGGAACCGGAGGGATTACTGCTGGTTCCTGCCAAACGTGCAATCGTGGATAGAGCTGGTCTAGTTTGATGGATTCATAAGCTTCTTGCTGCCGCTGCCGCAGGCGAGGCGGCTGTGCACAAGGCGCTTCAGCAGCTGGACATGTGGCAGAAGGAGCTGCCGCCCTCTGGCGAGGAGATGGGCTCAGCAGCAGGACCACAGCAGGCGACGGCGGCGGCGAGTGGCGAGCACCATCGGCAGGATGCCAACGTGTCTGGGCTGCGGTTGGGCCTGTTCTGTGGCGCCCTGACCCTGCTGACCGTCATGCTATACCTGCCATCGACGCTGCCCTGAGGCATCGGCATAGAGCACAGGCTCTCTCTATTTATTTGCTTTCCACTCTGGGCAGCATCAGCAGATGCAGGCAATTCAGTGTTACACTGGGTGGGCGGAGCCCGAGGGCCTTGCAGCATGCACAAAACGCTGGGAAGCAATGGTAACAAGAGCACAAAAAGAGGAAAGGCAAGTTCTTCTCGGGGTGGGAGTGGCGCGAGGGCGTACTGGTGCGGCGACCAGACAGTGAGCCACCAGGGTCGGGAGGGCGTGCGCTCCGCCAGCCGCAGCTGCTGTTGCCTCGCAGGCCGGGCACTTACTGGCGCTTGTTCAGGATGTTCATGTTGCTGGCGCACTTGCCGGCCTCCTTGCCCTGCATGGCAGCGGGGCAGCAGGCGTGGCGGTCAGGGTGGCAGCAGACGTGGTGGGCAAGGCAAGGTGCTGCGACACAACACGAGCACAACACATCATAAAACACCAAAAGAATGAAAACATAACCAAAGCACACACACACACACAAATGCGCACTCACCGTGCACTCAAGCTTGATGTCGTCAGCCACAAACTTGACATCGCCAGCCACGGCGCCAATGTCGCAGCCAAACCAGTTCCCGGGGAATTTGCAGGTGCCGTCGCTGACGGTGCGGCTGCACACAGGGTCGGAGAAAGGGGGGAGGCTCCTCGCAACGTAACACAGTGCTAATAGCGGATGCAATCCCCAAGCTGCAGCATCTGGCGCAGGTGTAACCTGCCGCCATACGACCCTGGCTGTTGCAACATTGGCCTGCCCTGTAGGCTGTGCTGCTGCCCATCCCGCTGCACGCATGCGGGCGCACACCTGCGGGCAAAGTTCGAGTAGCTGGTTGCCAGGCGCTGCTTGTCGTGCAGCGCCTTGTTCTCCGACGACTTGGCCATCAGGTCAGAGGTCTGCAGCAGGGGCTTCTCACGAATTCAACAACTTGCTTTCACGACCTACCACACTGCGGGCTGTCCCCAACTGCGGGGCTGGCTCTGGAGCCTGTGGAGTGCGGTTCCCAAGTGCTCCTGCTCCCCATGGTCAACCAGAGGACGCTCTCGCTGCTCACCAGGTCAGCCTTGGCCATGGGCGCGTTGATCAGCACGGCAGCGGCCAGGGCAGCAGCGGCGAAGCCGGCGGCGGCGCGGTTGTCAGCGGCGGCCACCACCACAGCGGGCTGGGCGCGGCGCTGCTGGGCAGGCGCGCGGCACTGGAGCTTGGCACTGCGGTCAATGGGATGCGAGGCGGGTTGTCAGGGGCGACTGGGCAAGGGCAAGAGCCGATCTGGGGTGCCTCCGCAAGTGGGTGCGGACAGCCCCCGGCCACCGCTCCCCAGGCCTCACCCGGCGAGCGTGGAGGACATCATGGTGTCGTGTGGGGTGTCTCAACGGTTGCCGGGGAGTGGAAGCTCGTGTGCGGCGAGAACTGGCCAGATTTTCGGCTTCACCCACTGGCGAGCCCCTGGGTCACGTTGCTTGGGCCGCTGAAACGCCCGCTGGCGCTGGCTAACGTCTCGATCCATCCACCGTGAGCCGATCTACGCCTCTGGCCCGGCGCACGGGGTTGCCAGTCACGGAGGGGTCGTGGTGGGGGCGGGGCTCTCTGTATTCCCTGCAGCCCCTCCGCCATCATGGAGCGGCGTTGGGGTGTCCATGGTGAATGACACAGCCTGCAATGGGAGCGGCAGGGGTCCCCCAACCAGCCGCTGCCGCCGCCGTCTGCCGCCGCCGCCGGCCCCCGCTGGTTTGGGCGTCGCATGTCCATGCGCTGTTGCAAGGTGCAGCGCACGCAGTGAAGCAGCATCTCCTAGCGCATGCAGCCGCGCTGCCTCCTGTTGTCAATGCAAAGCGTTGCAATGCGAAACTTTTCACACGGCGTGGATGCGAGTCAGAGGAGCAAATTGCAGTGCAAAGGTTTGAGAGTACAGATTGGGGCAATGAGAGTACAGAAATGTATGGCACAGTGCAGGGTACAAGGAAACAGTGCTGGTTCTGGAGGGTTCAGTGCAGCAGAGATGGCCAACTACGTGATACCTGTAGTCCCCAGCCTTTTCACGCCCAGCTTCGCCGCTTAGCATATTCTGTCAGCGCCTTCTGCCACGCGTCGGCGGTGAGGCCGCGAGGCGTGTACACCGCGCACACGCCCATGCTTTCCACGTCCTGAATGTTCCACTGCATGTCGTCGAGGAACTGCAGGGGGGTGGCCAACAAATTTGATAGCACGACGAGCATGGGGCGTCACACCCTCGACCTCTCCCATCAGCGCCCGCACTGGGACCCAAACCTGCGCTGCACCCTGCGCTGCCAGCCTCGCATGCAGCCCAGCACGGCTTCCAGCGCAGTCCTCCCCTGGCTTAGCAAAGCATGCCTGCCGAGCGCTGGAATGCGCACCAGCATGTCGGCATAGGGCACTTTGGTGCGCTCGTGAATGCGCCGGAAGTGCGTCTTCTTGCTGCCGGGGTAGATCTCATGGTGGTGTGCCAGCGCATGCAGGCTCAGCCCGCTGTCAAGCTGCAGCATCTGGAGGCACTTGTTGGCCCACTCTGCACGAGGCACAAGGCAGGCAGGGTGCGTCAACTGGACGTGGAGGCCGGCAGCCAGAGAACAGCAGGGCAAGTCGATCCAAAGCAACGACATGTTGGGCGGACCGGCAGCGCCAGCGGGCAACTCAGCAGCGGGAGCTCACGTGGTTCATCTGTTCGGCTGACGTATGCGATCTGTACGCCGGCCCACTTGTCGTCGGTGGCCAGCTCAGTGAGGATGCACCAGGCATCCCCCAGCAGCCCCACCTCCTCGCCGTCCCGGTCAATTACCACAGGCCGCCCACGCTTGCACTTGCCCAGCCGGAAAGGCGGCCCCCCCAACATATACATCTCCGGATACCTGCAGCATGCGCCATCAAACACCATCAGCTGCACGCCAGTGGCCAGATGGACCGTCAATGCTTCAATAAAGCAGCAGCCCGAGCGAAGGCGGCAGCACGGCGGCGGCTGCGGCTGCGGCGGCGGCAGCACGGCGGCGGCCAGCAGGAGCGCTGCAGGTTGCAGCTGGCCCACCAGAGGGTGGCATCGAGATCGAATGCGATCAAGCGAGGCAGAGACGCCATGGCTGGGGTGTGTCTGCGAGGAGCCCAAGCGCGGTGCAGGGCGCCACCACTGGGCTTGCACTGCATGTGTGATGCAAATTTCCAGGACTGGGGAGCCTGCCGTGCTGCAATGCATGGCGCCGCCACCCTGCCTTCCACCTGCCCCTGCATCTGGCTGAGGTCGGCCCGTGGGCCTGCCCAGGCCTCTTTCACACATTCCTAACGGCACATTGTTGTCGTTGCTACAGCTGCCTGCCCCCTGCGTGGAACGTTGGCCACCACGCTTCGGCGCAAGCTTATAGAGATGGCCGCCACCACGGTGGCTCTCTCCGCCCAGACGGTAGTGGCTGGAAGCAGCAGGAGTGTCTCTAGCCTGGCCCGGCGGGGCCCCCTGTTCCGCCCCCTGGCGGCTCTAGCTAGTGGCCCACAGGGCGGCTCCACCCAGGGCGCGCTTCGCCAGGCCCTGGGCCTGCGCACCGACGCCCGGCGCCAGGCGCGCGTGGCCGTGGTGAGTGGCGCCGCAATGCATGCAGCGGGCGGCTGGGCACGGCCATTGGCGCCGGCGCCTGGCGCTAGGGCGGCGCCCACGCGCTCTGGCTCTGCATTCGCGTCACCTCCCTGCCCCACCCGCTCCTCACCTGCAGGCCACCGTGGAGCCCGACCTGGAGGAGGAGCAGCCCGCGGCGGTGCTGGGCCGCGTGCCGCTGGCGGCGGTGGCCGCCAACCTGGAGGCGGTGTTGCCCCAGGCCGACGGCTCGCTGCTGGGCGAGTCCGACATTGAGGAGGAGCTGCTGGGCGACGCCCCCGAGGGCTTCAGCCGCTCCCCGCGCAGCTTCGCCAGCCTGTTCACTGACGATGAGGCGGAGGAGGCGGCCGTGGTGGACCCCTCTCTGCTCCTCGTCAACTGCGGCCTGTCCGAGGGCTCGGTGCGCGCGCTGGAGGAGCGCGGCATCACCTCCCTCTTCCCCATCCAGAAGACGGTGTTCGAGCCGGCCATGCGCGGCGCAGACCTCATCGCCCGCGCCAAGACTGGCAGCGGTGAGCACCCACGCCAGCAGAAGGCCCCTCGCTGCGCCTGCACGCTCCGGGCCAACAGGCTGCCCTGCTGGTGCAGGGCCTGGGCCTGGAGGTGGAGGTGCATGCCGGGTTGCCCTTCTCATGCCTCGCTCGCGCCCCTGGCTCTGCCTGCAGGCAAGACCCTGGCCTTTGCCATCCCTATCATCGAGAAGATCATGGCGGGGCCCCGCAACCTGCGCAAGCCGCAGTGCCTGGTGCTGGCGCCCACGCGCGAGCTGGCCAAGCAGGTGCGCCGCCTCTGCCGCCCACCCGTTGCCCTGGCGTAGCTGCTGGCGCCTCTGCTTCACTCCATACCCTGCCTGCCTGCCTGCTTCTTGCCGACCAACCCGCTCGGCCACTCAGAACCGGCTCCTCTCGCCTGCCTGCCCCCCCCTTCTTTGTCCCCGCAGGTGGAGCGCGAGATTGCCGCCACCGCACCCGGCCTGGGCTGCGGCTGCTACTATGGCGGCAACCCCATCGGGCCCCAGCTCAAGGAGCTGCGCCGCGGCGTGGACATTGTGGTGGGCACCCCCGGGCGCATCATCGACCTGATTGACCAGGATGCGCTGGACCTGTCCATGGTGAGTGAGCACAGGATCGAGTCGGGGTGTCATGGTGGCAGTGTTTGGGGCGTGGCAGAGCTCTGAGGGCGCGGTTAACTGTGAGGCCCCAGTCTTAGCCGTGACGTATCTGCCATCTGAGCCCTGTGCCCCGCTGCCACCGCCGCACTTGTGTCTGTGCCTGCTCCTGTCGCCCAGTCTCTCACCCCACCACACCCCTGCCCCAACCTGCCCCCCCAGGTTCGCTTTGTGGTGCTGGATGAGGCCGACCAGATGCTCAACGTGGGCTTTGAGAAGGACGTGGAGACGATCCTGGAGAATGTGCCGCAGGAGCGGCAGACCATGCTGTTCAGCGCCACGCTGCCCAGATGGGTGAAGAAGCTGGTGAAGCAGTACCTGAACAACCCCGAGAACATCGATCTGGTGGGGGAGGGCAACACGGGCCAAGATCCAGACTCCATCACCGCGCTGGCGGTTGCAGGTGTGTTGGCCATGTGGGGTGGGCGGTTTAATTTGGCCGGGTGGGGGGCGGGCCCCTGCGCTGCTGCACCGCGCTTGTTGCGGCCGTGGCTCACCAGCGGCTTCTTCCCAGCCCTGGGCTGCTGCTCTGTTTGGCTCTTGACTCTTGCATGTGTGTTTTCTTTTTTGGTGCAGGTGCCGGCCGACGCGCGGCGCTCTGTGCTGGTCGACCTGCTGACCGTGTACGGCGAGGGCGGCAAGGCCATCGTGTTCACCCAGACCAAGCGCGAGGCGGATGAGGTGGCGGCCAGCGTGGGCGGGCACCTGCCCTGCGGCGCGCTGCACGGCGACATGAGCCAGCGGGAGCGCGAGAAGGTGCTGGCCTCGTTCCGCGCCAACAAGGTGGGTGCTGCTCGAAGGCAGGCAGGCGCGGTTTGGCGCGGTTTGGCGGGCAGGTGCAGGGCCGCCTGCTGCTGCTCCTCCGCATGCCCCACCGCTCCGCACCTGCCTGCGCTTCAACACACGCGTGTTCCTCCCTTTGCCCCTGCCGCAGCTGATGGTGCTGGTGGCCACCGATGTGGCGGCCCGCGGCCTGGACATCCCCGACGTCGATGTGGTGGTGCACTATGAGCTGCCCCAGGACCCAGAGTCCTTCCTGCACCGCTCTGGTGAGCGAGGCCTCAGCCCAGTAGCAGACGGGGGGTTGCTGCTCTCCTAAACTACCGGCCCCGACCTGGCTGGCAGCGCAGGCTGGCTGCTGCCTGCACCCCGCACCTGCCGCAGCCGCGCGCAGCTACTGGCTGCCTCGCCCCTGTGCCAACCATAAACGTCCCTTTGGGCTGGCCCCCGCCCGCAGGCCGCACCGGCCGCGCCGGCAAGTCTGGCACCGCCATCGCCATGTTCCAGCCCAAGGAGATTGGCTACTTCAAACGCATCCTGCGCGAGACGGAGGTGCAGGGGGTGAAGCTCATCACCGCGCCCTCCCCCACCCAGGTCATCGAGGCCGCGGCCAAGCAGGTGATGTACCGCCTGGACGGCGTGGACGCCGAGGTGCGCAAGTACTTCACCCCCGTGGCCAAGATGCTGCTGTCGTCGCGCGACCCCCAGGAGGCGCTCGAGGTGGGCCCCTGCCTCTGGTTTTGCGCCTGTCGCACCTTTTGCAGCCGGCTGCTGGCTGGAAATGCAGCTGCTGGCTTGCTGGCTTGCTTGCTGGAGGGAGGGAGGGAGCTGTCGCGCGTTCTGCTGACTGACCCCCGCCTGCCTTCCTGCCTGCCTCCCTCCCCCTGGTCCTGCCCCTGCAGGCAGCGCTGGCGGCGCTGAGCGGCATCCAGGAGGTGCCCGAGCCGCGCAGCCTGCTGACCATGGAGGAGGGCATCCAGACGCTGCAGATGATGAGCAAGCCGGGGCGCATCACGCGCCCCGCGCACGTCAGGTGGGGGCACACAAAACGTGCCAGCGCGGCGGCAGGCGCACACAAATGGCCCTCACCCTGCAACACTGCGCCAAAATCCCCGCCTGTCCTCACCACCTCGCCCTTCCCGCTGCCCCTGCCTGCTGCCGCAGTGGCATTGTGGGCAAGCTGCTTGAGGGCACCGCCTTCAACGCGGGCGCCGTGGGCCGCATCCGCATGCTGGAGGAGGAGGGGCAGTGCGGTGAGTGGGCGGCGGCAGCGGCAGCGGCACCAGCGGTGGCTGTGCAGGGCATGCAGCTAGGGTGGCCGCCCAAGGCAGCGCATGGGAGCCCAGGCCAGCACCAGCCAGGGCCTGCACATATGCTCTCGTGTTGCTGCACCGTCAGTGCTGAGAAGCTCCCTTTTGCGCCTGCCGCTTTCCCCTGGCCTCCCCGCAGGCGCCGCCTTTGATGTGCCCATGGATCTGGGCCGGGAGATCATGGCGCGTGTGGATGAGCTGCACAAGCGCGGCGTGTCGCTGACCGTGCCCGAGAGCCTGCCGGCTGAGGAGGACCTGTACCAGATGGGGCGCTATGGCAGCCGCGGCGGCCGCGGGTGCGCACCGGGCTGGACGGCGGCGGTGTTAGGGGGAGGAGGAGCAGGGTGGGGCGTTGGAAGAGGGAAGGAGGCAGCCGCGGCTTTGAGGCGTGCTGTGTGCTCCTGGCGTTCAGGCTGCACTTGCCTGCAAGGCGTGATCCTCACCTTCCTGGCCTGCCCCCGTGCTCCTCCTGCCGCAGCGGCGACGACTCAAGCTTCTTTGAGCGCCGGCGTATGATGGGCGGCCGCGGCGGCGGTGGCGGCCGCGGCGGCGGCGGTGGCCGGTATGGCGACCGCGACGGTGGCAGGAGCTATGGCAGCCGCGAGGGGGGCAGCAGCGGGGGCTACCAGCGCCGCGAGGGCGGCAGCGGGGGCTACCAGCGCCGCGAGGGCGGCAGCGGGGGCTACCAGCGTCGCGAGGGCGGCAGCGGGGGCTACCAGCGTCGCGAGGGCGGCAGCGGGGCCTACCAGCGCCGCGAGGGCGGCAGCGGGAGCTACGAGCGCCGCGAGGGCGGCAACCGCTTTGAGCGCAGCGCTGGTAAAGGTGACAGCTCTGCAGGCCGCAGCTACAGCCGCAGCTCTGCCAGCCCCGGCTGGGACCTGGGTGGCGACACCTTCAGCGGCGGCAAGACCCAGGACAGCTGGTGAGAGATGGCCTCATACTGGCAGGGCCCAGTGCCCAGCCTGATGCTAAACGCTGACGAGAGCAAACTGAAGCACCCCCAACGAATGACGCATGTGCGCCGTGCCTCAGATAGCCCTTTTTGTGTATCTGTCGTGCACGCCGCCCCGGCACGTTGGCAGCGCCAGCAAAGTTTTAGTCTGCGCGACGCTCATTGTGGCGCGCCTCCTTCCTGCTGTACACTAATTCCCCTATCCTAAGCGCCCTGCCCTTCCCTCTCTCAGCTCTACATGCCCTCCACCCACTCTCCTTAGCTCCCGCTCTCCGCCCGCTCATTGTGGTTGTCATTTGATTCCCACGAGCCCTCGCTGTGGCTTGAACACATCCCTTCTCCTCACCGATTGTGAAAAACAGAACGACCACAATAGGTGGGACCCCTGCATGGCTGCGATAGTCCTACTAGGCTGCAGCAGGGAGGGGAGCTTCGAAAAGATAGGCAGTCTCCTGGGTTGTCTTTTGGAGCAGCAGCAGCGCAGCCGCCGCCAGCTGGACAACGCCAGCGGGCTCACAGGGGGGCTCACCAAAGGGCCGATCAGGGCCTCGATCAGTTCACCCTAACACCATCCCGGTGCTTTGGTGTTATTTTGAGCAAGCCCCCCGCCGTGCATGCGCCCTTTGCCGGTGACCAAGCCTCGCGCCCGCAGGCTCCCCAGCCCCTGACCATGCAGTGCGCATCAAGGGCCGCCACAGTGTCTGTGGCTGCCCCGGCAACACGGCAGCGCACGCAGTTGAAGCAACGGCGGCGGGTGGCAGTGCGTGGGGTGGCAGCCGAGCCAGCCACGCAGCGGCTTACCAAGGACGATCTGGTGGCATACCTGGAGTCAGGATGCAAGCCGAGGGACCAATGGAGGTGCGGGGGCAGGCGGCAGGACGGGCGCCTGTTGCGGCTAGGCTACCGGCCGCGCACCGCCGCTCAGCTTCACTCTCTTCTCTCTCTGATGCCAGTGGCGGGTTTTCTGTCGCTGACACACTGTGTACGTCCGAGGCCAAGTAGCACTCAGCCTTGCAGTGCAGCTGCCTGGGAGCGCTGACCAGCTCACCTGCCCGCCCCCTGCACTCCTGCGCCACGCGCGCCCCACCCCGCTGCGAGTGCAGGATAGGCACCGAGCACGAGAAGCTGGGGTACAACGTGGCGGACGGGCGGCGGCTGACGTATGAGCAGATTGCGGCGCTGCTGACGCGCATCGGGGAGCGCTTCAACTGGCAGCCCATCGTCGAGGAGGGGCACATCATCGGTCTGACGCAGGACGGGCAGAGCGTGACGCTGGAGCCCGGCGGCCAGTTTGAGCTGAGCGGCGCCACAGTGGACACGCTGCACAAGACATGTGCAGAGGTCAACAACCACCTGTACCAGGTGAGGCGGTACTGCTTGGTGGGGGCCTGCTGCAGCGCAGCACATGGAGGAGTGGACGATCCACACAGGCCAGCAACAAGCCTGTGCCATTGGCTTGCTGCCGCAGGTGCGGTCCATCAGCGAGGAGCTGGGCATTGCATTCCTGGGGGTGGGCTTGATC